ACTGAGCCCATTCACACAGGATGCGTTGGCCATTTTTTCCACTGCAGCCATTTGCTTGTCATGGATGGACACTATTCACAGCACCACATTGTGGAACACGGTGGTGTGTTCTGACAAAAAGTATGGCATACAGTACTTTTTTTAGTGCAGCAGGATGTGACGCGATACAACCGCCTCATGCCCCGCTGTGCCCATACAGCTGAATGAAATAAAGTTCTAAAAAAAAAAAAGTACACAGTGCAATATGGTGGGATCAGTGCATCAGCACTGTGCCAGCTACCGCACACCAGCTGCTGTGTGTTTTAGCAATGTGGATAATGTGAATGGGCCCTAAAAGAGCAAAACTAGCGAATAGACTGAAAGGGTGAGTATAAAGGGGCAGGAGGATAAAATGTGCACAAAAGGTGGTTTGTATAGTTCAGTGGTCCCCAAACTGTGGCCCTTTGCATGCTTTCAGGGACATTATTAAAAATCGTAGGGAACCATATTGCCTAATCACCCTCCCCCTGCTAGGCAAACAACAATGTTGTTACAGTCAGGTAATAACTTTCAGTGTACAGATCTGAGTAAGCATTGCCCTGTTCCTCTTGTCCTGTGGACAGAAAAAAACCAGGGGAAGAGGAGTTCATGAGAATTTATAGTTTGTCCTGAATTTGTAGGAAATGGATTAATGAAGGGCATCAAAAGTTTGGGCTGAAAAATTGGGGGAATTAAAAAATGGATGGATGATATAAATGAAGTTGAACTGTAAGGGACTTTAAGAAAAAATCACCAGGGTGTTTTATAGGAAGTGGTGAAAGTTGGGCAGTTTGGGCTGCTACAAATTATTTTTGAAGATGCAAGACTCCAAGGTCTCACATAGTCCTGTGGGTATAAACAAGTGATGTATTACATCACTTCCGCATTCACCTGTCAGTCATCTGGCTGCTATAGCCAGAGAGAAGAAGCTGATAAAGCAGATCTCTGCTTCATCAGCTTCTTTTGGGGTCCACAGGTGATATTAGGGGTCCTAGAGACCCCTAATATCTCCATAAAGAGGACCTGTCAGTGTGCCTTTGCTATTATATAGGGGGTTGTTATCCCCCTATATAATAGCAATAACAATAAGTGCAAAAAAAATAAATATAAATAAAAAAAAATAAAAGTAACACATAAAAAAGTAAAATAAAATAAAAGTCACATATAAAAAAAGGGGACGGTGCCCCAGCGCGCAAAAATTACAATTGTATATAATGTTCCTTATCATATTTCATTAATCCAACATTTCCACTCACCTTTCCTAATAGTGGTGGCTATTCCATTCATTAACTGGGTGAGAGTCTTATTATGGGAAATGTGTACATCAGAATTACAGACAGCGTTACCACTCAACAAGTCAAATTTTCCAGCTTCGTGACGAAACTTTTCCAGCTCTCGGGAGAGAAGATTGAATTGTTCACTCTGAATCCGACATTTCTCTTCTAGCTCGCGGACCTTGGCCTACAAAATGGAACAACTAAGTGAACAAAAATGGTTCATGGCCATTAGTGAGTATGCACCAAAGTTACAGTTTAGAAACAGGGAACTTGTGGATTAAGCCAGTATGGATAGAAATGCCATTTACTGATTCCCTTGGAACCATTACCACCTCAAATTAACTAATAAAAGAACAAAAAAAAGATAAAAGAACAAACAATGCTTTGTCCATTCAAACTTATTTAGAGTGACACTAAACGCAGAAATTAAACCTTAAAAATACATTTAAATATCTTATACCTTAACTATTAACAAAAGTGTAGCTGATTTGTGTATGACTCAGCTGTAGATCCTCAAATCATTTCTGACTTCATGCTGACACTGTCCTTCCTTCTGGAGGGTGGCTACTTTGTTCTCCATGGTCCCTGTGGTTATAAAGTATCCACCGCTCCAAACTCCCTCCTGTGATGGAGAACAATATCAATACAAATTAATGATCTAAACATGAGATTGCAGTTCATGACAGGAGTGAGCTTGAAGAGGTGGCTACTTTACAACACACACAGGGACCATGGGGAACAGAAGTAGCCCCCCTTCCAGAAGGAAGGACAGTGTCAGCATGAATTCAGAGATGATTTGAGGATTTACAGCCGAATGATACACAAATAGAATATGTTTTTGTTAATAGTTTAGGCACTTGAATGCATTTTTAAGATTTGACTTCTGAGTTTAGTGTCACTTTAATAATGCCAAAACAACCAAACAGAATTCAGTACACTGCTGTCAGATCAATGCAATAAGTTTTCTAAGTATCTCCATTGGTTTACTGTAGTGTGTACATCACTATGCCTTTTTCAATAAATATGTAGAGGAGATATATGAAATTCAACATCTTTACAAATCACCTTTTTTTTTTTATAAATGGAAGAAATAATGAAAACCTTACACTAAAGGAAATCTTGTAAGGGTTTGTAAAGATTTAAACTTTCATTTTTCTGCCTCTGGTTCTCACCTCTCCAGTGGCCTGTTTCTCCTACCTCTCCTCCGTTTCAGTGCTGCTGCCTTCAAAAGCCTTTCTTGCATTCATCGCTTCCATGTTGGATATCTGTGTCTCCTGTCATGCTGTTGTTTCGTCCTCCAACCCCTATTGCACTGCTGAGTTCTGCAGTGATATATATTCTGAGGAAGGAACCAGCCCATGGGGGCACAAGTGTTCCACACTCCCAGAAGTGTTAAATGCTGGTTTAAAAGAAGTTTTTGGAGCCTGCAGCGTGGAAATGAAGCAGAGGTAGGAGAGACTGACCATTGCAGAGGTTAGTATACACTGTCTTCTACTAAAGAAACTGACTGGGTCTCATTAAGCAGCACAGCATATGAGAAAAAAAGGATTTACTGGGAATGTTTCTAGTAGGGTTAAACAATATTATGTAGCTGAAAAGCATAAAACACACTAAAGTCTGGAACTAATACATATTACACTATGAACCATTGGGAGATTTTTTTTATAGTTATATACTGTATTTAGCATGGTGAAATTTGTCAAGGCGGTGTATGAACCTTAGAAACATTATGAATTCTACAGATGAAGTTGTAATTTTTTCACTTAGTATTACTGTAATATATAGAAAGGATACAAAACAACAGTGACTATAGTTATGGTACACAAAATACCTCAATTAGACAGGTTAATCACTATGGTTTCCATATACTATGGCTAAGTACACAAATCTACAACCCCTCAGAAATACAGTAAATAATGCTTGAATTCAGGTCACCACCACACAAAGCTACTCTACTTTAGCCACATGTGTTTGGTGCTGCATGATATCCAACAATATTTTAACAAGCAGCCTCCAATAAAAAATCCTGCCAGTGAGTTTGAAGTTATGGATGGAAAAAAATATTTTATATTGATAGATATTGTACTAAAAAGCCTTATCTAAAATATCCACATCTACTGTATTTATCTATTAAACAAGAAGGTACATTTCTGACATAGTTAGGAAACTCCAAAGACTACAAGAGGACAGTCCAACTGTACAATATCTTAGCATGGAACAGATACAGCAGTCCAGATGACAGAATTCCCAAAAGCTGTGTTTCTTTTTAGAGTCCTTGAAAAAATTATTGCCTAGTAAAAAATGTTTCTCACAAATAAATAATTGTATTCAATATAATAAACCTTTTAGAAGTAAAAAAAAATATATATGTAGCACTACACTAAATGGAGGTTTGGGTTTCCTAACTTATTTGATATGTACAACATTCTTGCAACAACTTGTATGGAGCTCATCCTTGCTAGCAATACTGTGAAAAATGCTACACATATATGATCTATATGCTTTTATGTGGATGACTTTACCCGAGGCATTAAATAGCTCTGATTAATGCTGCAGTAGCACTTAAAGAAGGCAAAGTGACCGAGTCTCTTTAAAGCTCCCAACCACCAAACCACTTATAATCAACTTCACAGTGTTCTCCCACTGCTTCTTTCTCCATGGCAGCCACCACAAAATATCATGTGCTTTTGAGTTAGGGGGAAGCATGTGCCCTCCTCCAATAATGCAGTAAATGGGCCTAGTAGCCGATGGCTAGGCACAAAAGCAGTCACATTACAAAGGAGTGACATCATTAAGCCTGTGTAAGCTCTGACTCCATACAACAAGGAGTCAGAGCTTAGGGTATTTTGCGGCGCCTGCCACAGAGAAAGGAGCAGCGTGGAAGTGTTGCGTAGGTGATTATAAGTGGGTTTGGGAATGGACATTTGAGAGGCTCTGGCCCTAAAAAAGAGACCACTTTAGCAAGGCTTATAGTGTATGTAAAGGCAACCCTTTTAGGCTTGGATAAAAAGGTATAACGTTAGACCCTCTAGCAAGGTTTTACTGCCATCTGTGAAAGTGGGGGGGAATCCAAAAACTTTAGAGATGCCATCAGAGCAAGAAATAACAATAAATCATCCAATGTGGACAAATGTTCCGAAGACAAGATGAAAATCCTTCTCATTTCATGTTGCGCCTTCAGGACAGGATGTCCCTAATGGGACAAATACATGGGTTGTAGCCCTTCGTTACTCTATTCAAAACTTAACAAATCTTTACCTTTATATGCATTTCAAGTACTACTGCAGCTTGATAAAATGGCCAATGTGTAGCCCCACTATAAAAGGTTGTGGCAACCCCTTTGAAACTTTAGTTATAAAAAAATATACTGTATACAGTATACAGAAAAAAATACCATTGTTTATTGGCCACCTATGCTTTGAACCAGTACCTTGTTCCATTGGTGGATTAAAAATAAGTTTACATTCATTAACATTTTAAATGACCTATCTATGAAACAGATTGTATAGGGAAATATGTTATTTACTTAATATAACCTGTGTAGCTAAAGTTTCTTGTTTGCTGGGCTAGGATAGTGTATGGAATAAAGTTTTCAAACTGCTAACTGTAACATCTAAGTCTATACAGTTAAAGAAGAGTATATAAACACTGATGATGAGGTGGTACAATCAACAGGTGAAACTTGTGAAATCAACAGGTTTAACCAAGAGGCAAAATTAAACATATATTTCTGGACTGTTATATGTAGCTGCATAACTTTGGAGTGAAAGTCAACTTTCACTTAAACAGACCAGACCAACCCTAGCCACAATATGCTGATACGGGTCAGCTGATATAAATCCAGCTTATTGATTGTATATGTATGGTGATCTGAATTCAAAAGTACATTATATAAAGGTTGTTGAACCATTCTTATATACCTTTTTAATGCCTTAAGTATATATAGGATTGGGACATTGTGGAGTTGTAAGGACAAACAGAGCCAGGACAAAATAAAATGAAGAGACACGAAAATGTATCACAAAATGTTCTGACAAAATCAAAAGGTTTTGTATATATGGCCAAATTAAGCAAGTCATTTTATCAAGCCCATCTGGCTATTTTATTTACAAAAAATACTAAGACTAAAGCTGGCCATACACCTATAGATTATCTGCAGATTTTCTATGGTCTGATGCAAAAAGTGCAACAGATTCCTCCATCTACGCTAAACTGTGTGGATGGAGCAATCTCCCACTGGGCCAAGCTTCAGTATCTTGCTAGTCGGCCCCGCTGGCTCTCAAAATACCTGAATAATCTGATTGGATGCATAAAATCTGCAGATAATCTAAAGGTGCATGGCCAGCTTCAGGGTGCTTTCCAGGCTATAGACTGAACCCCTGCATTTAGCCCAAGTAGTCTTGCGCTGTATTTTGCTTTTCAAATAGAATAAAACTGCTCTGTGTCTGCAGTGTCTCCAGCTACAGAAACAACTACTCATCAACAGGAACAACATTTAATGGTTCTGCCTTATGGACATTAAAAAATTAGACAGTGGGCCTTATGTATAAAAAAATAAAATGGAGCAAAGAAAGATGACACAGCTACATATAGAAACAATTAAACTGTAGCTATAATCCAGGAGAATTAACAGTAACATTTTCTTTTCTCTTTTTTTTTTTAAATTGGGCCCCTTATGTCTATTGACAAATGTTGCTTTTTGTTAAAAGAACTAACATTATTAAAACAGATCTCCCCATCATCTGTTTCCAGATAACTGTAACATGCAGTAGATGCGTTTCATAGTTTATAATGAAAGACCATGCAAAAAGCATGCCCAGTGTCAGTTGTGAATATTAATGGCACAAACCTGTTATATTGGGTCAACTTGGAAGACAGGGATTATGTACCAGCTATAGTACTACTGGCTCTGTAAGTTCATAAAAGAGAAAATGGTGACGTTAGTGGGAGCCTTTTAATGCCATGACTGGCATAAAAGGCACTTGAAAATGGATATGGAAAAGTCTACACACCACATGGGGGTTTATTTATAAAATTGTTGCTCAATCCAACTAACCAATTGTTAAACAGCTGTCACTTTCTGGTTCAGATTAGAAATAGAATCAAAGCTTCAATTTTTCTAGTGCTCCAATTTTTATACATAAGCCCCAATGTGTACTGAGCCAGAGCCATTTTTAAGGCTACATTTATTTAGCATGCCTATAAGAATGATTCAACAACAGGGTACATGCACGGGTGAGGGAGAGGGCAGATGGCAAAGGCAGAGCCACAAATACACATTTCAAATACCTGCATGCTGTCCAAAGTGTTCTGGTGAAAGGCAAAGCAATAAGTCCAGACAAAACAATATCAAAAATAAAAGAAAACTCCAAAAAATCAACAACAAAGTTTTGAAAAAACAAGAAAAAAAAAATATCACCTTCATATTGCATGCACAACACACTGCTGTACATCACAAAATGGCTGAGAGTCTGATAATGCCAGCATGAGTAATTTTACAAAAAATAAGTATTTACCATAATGCATTGAGGTTTCTTTTTGATAGTTCATTAATGATCACTCTTGTAAATGTTTACATTTCACAAAAGTAAAAATTTTGATCTATACTGACTCATAATACCCCGTTTGCCTTACCTTTACTACATGCTGCAGTACAAGCTCTCTATATTACAAAATGTAGCTAAAGACTGTAGGCAAACAAAAACCAGACTATAAACCATATTAAATATCACAGACTAGAGATGAGCGAAACTGTTAATATAAAACTTTGTGGTACATCAAAACAGATTTGTTAATTTAATCAGATGTTTAAAGCATATGTTTGTGGCATTTGTTTCTTTCTTGGTTAAAGACAAAAATTGTTGTGTAAAGTTCCATCAGCATAGTGCTACAAGTATGCAGGCTAATAAAACAACATGAAGTGGGATCCCATTTTTATAGAAATATCAACAAATATGGCGGTAAGTGTGAAGGGGTTAACTTGTTACTGTGAGTTATACCTGGGGATAAGGGAGATTAAATGGTACAGAAGTAAAAAAAAAAAAAATCTAATAATTTTTTAATTAATTCAAGCATTTCCATTTTCTTTAATAGCCACTAATGTATTTAAATAGTTTCTTTTGAATCACTTTAGAAATAAAAGTTGAAACAATACTTTACCCAATGTGCAACATCCAAATAAAGTCTACCTGCACATAATGACTGACTTTACAATTGATGAATCCGTTTGATAAACAAGAATGTGGGATGTCTCAGTTTTCAAATGCCAAAGGAAAAACCCTTTTTACTATTGTAACTTCGGTAACTAGGGATTGCTTTGGTAAATAATCAGAACAAGGGGAAGCTATAATATTTAATGTTCTCATTGGGGAACAGATTTCCAGCAGGAGAACTGGCCATTGGGGCTGATTTACTAAAGGATTTGAGAATGTCTATACAAAACATTGTGTGAAGATTCACTTCAATAATCCAAACGTGTGAAAAGAGAATCTCTGTTTACTCATTTCATCCTCACATGATTTGCCCCTGTGGCCTTCTATATATTGGGCGCACTACCAAGACACTACGCTGTCGCTTTGGACAACATCACCGATATAGTACATTGAACAGGGTTCTGTGCACCACAGTGTTCCACAACATTTCGCCATGAAACACAATAAATCTACAGTAGGCCTAGCAGTATTTGCAATTGAACACATCCTATGCAGCCAAAACCTATCCTACCCTGCCAAAAGATTTTGCAAGCTCTAATCAGGAGACATACTGGATCTATTCATTAAACGCACAAAACCTTAATAGATTAAATGAGGAACTAGACATCAGTACAATCTTATAATTATGTGATTTTAATACATCCAACCCAGTCCCTGACATGTCTAAGAGTCTTGGTATTATTTCTGTACACTCCACTTTGTACACTCTTGATAGTTCCTGCTCTCACTGTATCAACCTGATACTCTGTAGAACCTGATATTCTGTATGCACTAAGTAATCCCTTATTATTAGTTTATATTTACATATACTATGTTCTGGTACTGTTGATGCATATAAGAAAATGAAGGGCAAACTGTTACATATTGGCAAATATACGTAAAATGACACATGATATAAAATAATGATGATAATAATAATGAAATGTACATGGATCTAACACTAATGGACACTTGGAGGGCTGCGGTTATTTGTTTGTAACTAATTACAAAAACACACATCTACTGATACCTGGGTAACTGTGACCAAAAAGATTTGTACACATAAAACTATACAATGCAAAAGTTTATCGCATGAGATATCAATCCACGAAATATCACTAGCTTCTAGCTGACAACATTTGTGAGGTTATGAAGCCATTTGAGGTGGAGGTAAAATATCAGTTCATAACAAATTAACACAGACAATATAAAATAACAAATCTACTGCAAGGAGTTTGTATGCGCTCCCTAAGCTTGCGTGCGTTTCCTCCGGGTACTCGAGTTTCCTCCCACACTGCAAAGACATACTGGATGTTAATTGGCCCTCGTATGTATGCAAGTGAGATAGGGGCCTTAGATTGTAAGCTCCTTGACGGAAGGGACTGATGTGAATGTGCAACTACGTAAAGCGCTGCGTAAATTGTCAGCCCTATATAAATACACGTAGTAAATAATAAAATAAAATACACGTATGCAGTATTTATTTTTGTGCATTGAACATTTAATGCGAAAATAACTTTGAGGTGAAATAATAAATTAATGTATAATATCTCATACAGCTAAGTAAAACAAATCTAAGCCATGTTAACATGATCTTGGAAATTGTGAGTTCTTTGGCTAACTGATGGCATCAGAACTTACTGACTATAATACATTTAACACATTCAGTTCTATTAACTATTATTTGTAAATTCTACTAATAGAAAACAGATACTTTATTTTTATCACAAAAATGCATTTAGCAACATATTAACATCTCTGTAGCTGTATTTATTATTATATGGGAGCTTCATAATTAAGTTGGCCATGTCATTTACTTGGAATATGAAAGCTAAATTATGAGCATTTATACAATGTTCTTTCAAAATAAAATGATAGATTCTTAGGTTAATCTGTATATCACTTAATTCTAGTCTGGTAGGAAGCAAGAAACCCCAGTTTAAATAGTTACAAGCATCAGTGCTGTAGGGGAGGAAATCAATTTTAATATATATGATAATGTCACTTGTAAGTGAAGAAATTGACTCCCAAGAGTAACAACTATGTGACGATCACATCTTCACCCTATGAAATTCTCAAGTCCATTTGCATTCATATGTAGACATACACTACAATGGATAATCACTTGCCCTCAATACTAAACACTATGGGATTGATTTATTAAAGGGAAATAGACTGTTCACTTTGCAAGGAAAGTTTTACTTTGCAGGGAAGTTTTCCTTTAGCTTAGTGAATGTGGTGAAAATTCACTTTGTAACTATTACCCAACCAAGGAAAACGAAAAACAGTATTTTTGCTTGCACATGATTGGATGATGGAAGTCAGCAGAGCTTCACCTTATTTACTAAGCCTTTAGTAAGTCAAGTCCCTATGCCTCAAATATGAAATGTCAGTAAAATGCCATGGTATTGGTATTACATCATAACAGGGTTTGATGTGTGCAAAAATAATGAAGTATAATCTTCAAAAGACTACATCGACTGTCTATATTAAGACACAAGAACTGCATATCATCTATTTATACCAGAGGCGTAACTAGAAACTTCAAGGCCCCAGTGCAAAAAAACATGAAGGGTCCCCCAACCCCCTACCGCCATGGGTAGGCACTATAAACAGGCACAGCGTGATTATCAGGAAGGCCGCCGTACGAGTACTCGTCAAAATGCCCACTACTGGCACTGGTGCATCCCTACTTAATATAATGTATTGCTGGGACTTGTAGTCCTGCATAGTTGGTGCTATTCTGCATTGCTGTATAACCATTCTACAGCAATGCAGAATACCACCAGCTATGCAGGACTACAATACATTACAATAATAATTGAATACCACAAACAGAAGTATCCAAGTTACCTAAAGCAACCTCTCTTATTCTAGCTGACATTTTTCTACTGCAAGGTAGGAAATGAAAGAAATGGTCTTACTGGATGTCATGAAAAAATCCAACTCAAAGAGAGTTTAGACAACAGAACTGATACAAACAATAAAATGGATGCCAGTGTGATCCTGGGTGTGGATGTAAATGTTTGAGCATGCATCATCTATGACCAGTTTCAAATGTATAGATTCTAACAGTAAATTACACTTGTCTGGTAGTTGTTTCTCACCTCTAACAGCTGAACTGCACCCTCATGTTCTTTCTTGGCTTCGACCTGGGCCTTGAAATAACAAAAAAAAAAGAGTGAAACATTAACTTTGATAAGGCTGTATGGAAAGAAAGGATTTTTATCACTGATCTGGTCCCATAACCGGGTGTTGAAAATCAGCAACCTGTGGAAAAATACATAAAATCTCAGCTGAGAACGAGTCAGATGTTAGAACATCTGTTATGCTTTCTTTGCTGATAAAAACCCTAATTTCCTCCCCTGACGGTACAGTTATAAAGCACTTATTGTCCTATTCCAATAAAGCAGTGTAAGAAATATCAGATAAAAAATCTCGGCACCATCTATCATTGCATGTAAAATCAATTGCTGCCTCAGATCACGGTATACTGAAACAGAACGAAGATTAGTGTACATTTTCTTTGACCAATATTTAGCTTAATTTAAAAAGCTTCCTGTAAACAACTAAATGGGGGTGGAATGGCTCAAGGGTCTTGATGTGCAAGTTTTATTTGGAGAATAACCCTACCTGGAGAATCTCTGAAACTCTTCACCACAGCAACCATTTAGTTGTCAGCTTTCAAATCAAGCAAGGGATCTGACAGTTTACTATTATTTGTACTGTATAGATTACTATATATTATTTAGACTCTAGAGTATGTATTAATATCTTCTGTATCACCGCCTTAGGTCACATAGCACTGTACAACAGAAATGATTAAAAAAATTATAAATAATAAAAATAATATACCTAATGCTAGGTATAATAAACATATAAAGCAATAATACAATGCAACAGAAAAGTGATCTCTGTGCACACAAGCCTAAAGAGACTCTGTCATTAAAAATAACTGCTGATGGTATAAGTGTACACACCTAGAGGTGGCTACACATACCGGCAGCAGCATCTACTTACCTGTTAGCTGTTATGGCTGTATCCTGGACTGTCCTATAAAAGCACTGACACTTTCAGGATGTGAGCTAACTGCTCCCAAACATCCCCTAAACATTGGCTCATTGCTGTGACAAGCTTCCTTATTAGCTGAATGGAACATTTGGAAAGTAGGATGGGGCTGAGAAGTCGCGCTACATCAGGAAGTAGCAAAGCTGTGTCTGTCAGAACCGCTGGTGATACGGTCATGGCTGCTAGATGCCCACACTTTATGCCAGCAGCAATCATTTTGTTAAAAGAGTAACGGCAATAATATTTGCAACTGTTCTACTTTTGCATTAAAATGTGCTATATCAGCCCTTGAGATTCGGAGCTGATAGTCTAGCAGTGGAGTTGGTGGAAAGTTTTTTGTGTATATGGGGAACTGGAATTCCAGGTTGTGTCCACCCTTGCCAGAAACACATAGAAGCATAACACTTGGATATGTGTATGCATATTACCATACTGGATCATGGTTGTCACCAGCGAGCACATTTATTATAGAAAGTGGATATCTCCTGCCTTTTAAAAAAATTAAAGATCCATTAATTTTTATCATGCTCCACCAGCTGTGGACTCAAAAAGAAAATGGAGCACAGCACACATTTGTAAAGCACATTGATGTACTTTTTTTTTTTACAACCATACCACTGCTTTTAAAATGTAACAAAGTTATACTCACCTGACCCTCAGAGCCAGTCGGCTGTCTCAGCACCACCCCCCCCAGCCTGTCTCCTCCACTCCAGTAATGGTACATCCCTCTGTGTCCTCACGTCCTACACACTGTGTATAGAACGTGATGACTTGGGGACCTTAATTCGCTGCAGCGAAGGGAGAGCAAGGCTGGAAGGATCGGTCTAATAAAAAGTTGGCTCCGAGGATCAGGTGAGTATAACTCTTTTATTTTCCTCCCGCGACGAAAACGAGCGCTTCTTTAATTTAAGAAAAATAAAATACTCCATGCGTTAAAGTTTTTTGCTCTTAACTATATTCTATTAGTAGCTTGATCAGCGCATAAAGCCCTGATTAGACCTGACACTCCCTCTCCCAGGTCTGCTGTGCAGGGGATTACAGGATATACATGTAAGGACAGATTTCTCTGTGTTGAAAGACACTTTTGGGCTTGAGTGGAAAAAAGAAACTCTAACAGAAGCTGTAACAATTAACAGTGGTAATATAATGATTATTTTTGTTGAAACATGATTGATTAAGCCGAGATTTGCCATTTTAATGTCTTACAATTTGTCCCCGGTTATTAGTATAACCTTAAAAAAAAAATGAACAGCACGATGAGAAAGGTCGGGAAGCAGTTTGCTGATAACTGTAAATGTTACTCTGAAGACAGAAATAGCTTTGATATTGATTTGCATCTTGATTGATCTCTTACCTTCTGCAGAAGCTCAATCTCCTGCTGTTTTGCATGGAGAACAGCCAAGGCTTGGTCATGCTCCAATTCCAGATGTTGCCGCCGCTCTGCAGCCTCTCGCATATGCTGTGTACAAGAACACAAAAAGTTAACCAACTGTGTTTGATGTCATGAGTGAGTTTTAGAAGCAAGTGCACACTTCAGTAAGAAAAGTTACTACTATGATTTTTTGAAGGAACACTAAAAACAATAACAAAATAAGAAGAGAAAGACGAGTAATAATATTTCCCAATTCTGCCGTCTCCAATCTTCACTCATATGCACAGCTACACAAGCTGAAGGATCTTCAGCATCCAACAATTCTGAGCGTATCAAATCCCTGCATCTTCTGTTCTGCATTGTGGTTGCAGTGATGCAGGGGACGGCAGGTGGAACCAGAGCACACAGTGGGAAGGAAGGCATCGGAAACACTCTGAAGATTAATCAGTCAGAGTATCTCCACAAGAGAGCGAAGATTGGAAGCAGGGGAGGCAGGACTGATAAGCAGTATTCCTCTTCTTTTAAAGGGTCCTTTAAAAAATTAGCAAGGGAGTTGCTTTAAATTAGAATGCATTTTATGTATAACAGATCACAAAGCAAACAGCTTATGTAGTTGCAATGCATTAATGGGAGCCGTTTGTATTTCTTTCCATCCATTCCTGAGATTTACGTATACCTGCTAAAGAGAATGGCCTGGTTGGTGACCTATTTTTTTTTCTCCTGCAGTTAAGCAATACAGCTTGGTCACCTCCAGGTTCCCAGCCTGTGACTAAACACAGAAGGAGCAGAACCAGTCTGATGAGGTCATCTCTGCCCTCTCCTCCTCTTACCTGTGTCTAGTCCCCAGATAGCAAGTAATTGAGCTGCAAGTTTGAAAATGACTTGCTAAACTATTGCAGACTTGCCAAGCTTCACAATTTTGTTGCACAATTACAGCAAGCCTGCATTGCAAGTCTCCAGACCAGCGAGCTTGCAGAGCTCTTGCCAAGACCTGCAGGGCTCTTGCTGTAGACTTGCCAAGCAAATTTGCTACAAATTCAAAAAGTGTCAACTAGAACTTGTGCTGCGAGTGCTCTGCAAGTCTACAACTTGCCAGGAATGTGTGCAGCAAGTTAACAAAATTGCAATTTCACCCCGCCACAAGTTTGTGGCAAGTTATCCTTGCTATCTGGGTCATCACATGTGAATCGAAAAACCCCTGATTAGCCCAAGTTCTCTCCATCCATCTCCCAGTCTGACTGCTTTTGATCACAAGACTGAAATCAAGAAAAATCCAGGTACTTACACTCGTTGCACTTAAAAATAAATGTAATGATTTAATTCAATGAAAACAAAAAAACTGTACTTTTCTTTTTTTTATATATATCTGCCTAGAGTTTTGCTTTACATTTATGTTTTTATACTGCTGGTTTTATCTCCCTTTTATTATATACTTACAACCTTTGTTTTACAAATAAACATTTCATACATGACCAAACAAAGTGATACTGCTTTACATGTGAAAAGGTGACAAGAGCTCCACCTTCTGGCTGGACAGAATATATGTTAATATGCAAAATAAAAATATAAACAGAATCAATATTTGTTCCCTTTAAGGAAAGCCTACACAAACTAAAGTGGATGGGAAGATTCCTTCTTAATTCCGAAATGGCTTCTGGTAAGCAGCTTCTGGGATTAATACACTCTCTGTGTTATTAAAGTCTGATGATGATGATGATATTGTAATCATTTTGACAACCTAACCCAGCACGGTTTGATAACCTTGTATTACAAGTGGATGTAACAGGAATAGATGTCACAGGCATATAAAAAAATACAGAAATGTTTTAGCAGTATAGATTGATGTGGCCAGGCAAATGAATGATTATTTCTGGTTGGCTGCTGCATTTTGTACATTGAGGTTGGTCATCAATATTTAAAAGTATAAACAAACAAAAGAGCTGTGCTGTTTGATACCCTATTTTTATGTCATAATGTCACTGTTTTTACGGATATTTTGGTGGCTCTTCTCTGATCCACAAGGAGAGATGGAACCATTACTGTGCCATATGTTTAGACATGTATAATATATATAAAACAGAGTTAAAAAAAAACCATTATAAAGTGACCTTAGAGTTGTGTGAATATTATATTTTATTTAATTCTATAATTTGCATAATGACATCTGTTTAAAGATGACAATTTGCACTGCACCCACTTATTCAGTTCCATGATCTTTATATATAGAAAGACGATATAACTGTGCCCCAAAATCAAGTCATATTGGTGGATTAAAGATATAATAAACATATTTATACCCCACATAGGCCAACAAATCCAACATTGTTAGGTTGAAGCTCTGCAATAAATATAGTCCTAGAGTTCCAGTGTCCTCAAGCTTTCCATATCTCACTGACAGAATTTGAAATAACTTTTTTGTAAAGATGTCATCATTTATTGCAGGGAGCTGTGGATTCACAAGTCGAGAAGCAGGTCTTGGGAAATGTTAACATTACTCACTGGATGTGAGAGATAGAAGTAAAAATAGATGTTTTTTTACTCAATAAAAGCACACATACACAAAGATATTAGACATGCTCTACATTATTTTACTGGTAAAACTGGAGAGGAATTTTAACTGCACTGTTCACATTCCAGTTGTTAGGATCCAGAGCAGAGTTAACATCAGGTTATAAACCTGTAAATGTTCGTAATAAAATATTTTTTTTTAATTAAACTACCTGCATTAAAATGTCAACACCAACAGGGTTATTCACAAAAAGGGTGAAGGGTTAGGAGAAGGCAGGAGAAGTGAACAATCTAGGCCCAAAATAGCCGATTTGGAAAAGTTCTCCAATTCCACTAACTTTCCAGTTCAGCTATGTTGTCCTAGATCAGGGGTAGCCAAACTCCGGCCCTCCAGCTGTGGTGAAACTACAAATCCCATGATGCATCTCTCTCCGGGAGTCATGTCTGTGGCTGTGAGAATCATGCAATGCCTCATGGGATTTGTAGTTCCACCACAGCTGGGGGGCCGCAGTTTGGCTACCCCTGTCCTAGATTGTTCTCTTCTCCTGCCTTCTCCAAACTCTACACCCTTTTGTGAATAACCTTGCAAGTGTTTGGACCAGTCACCTCCTTCTTTGCAACCATATATTAAGGACAAAGCAACAAACCTGCTTTTCCTTCACAAATGTGTATGGCCTCTGTTACACATGTGTAATAAATATCTTTTATGTTATCAGTACATAACGGCTACATTGCTATACATGCCTCTATGACATCATTCCAATCCTGCATGCCCTTGAGCTCTGTAACAAAACCATGGCACTATGTATGGAGACTAGGCTATGTATGGATACTTTCTTTTACAGTGCTGGCATAGTGTACTGGTGATCTCTCAGTGTGGGGGCAGTCCCACTGCAAAGGCAATTTTTTCTAAAACCTGGAGTTCTTCTTTACGAATATTTAAAGTGCTCCTTTTCCATTCCACCTTTTTCAAATTAAACTAAACTCCAGGCAGTTAAAAATGACTCAAATGAATGCAGCACTGTAATCAATAATACAATATTAAATTGATTTTATAAATACAAGCAGTGTGAGTACCTTAATTTGACTTGGTATTGGCATCTTACTGTCTCTATACAGCAGAGCTTAGACTGAAAGAGGAAGAAGCAGTACAAGGAGTCAATCAGTTGTGCTGCAGTGTAGCAGCATCCTGACAAAAGGGGAGAGAGCAAAGTAATATACATATGAGCTCGATATGGACGGAGGTAAGCCGGTGGATGTGGTATATCTGGATTTCTCAAAGGCTTTTGATACGGTACCACACAAACGCTTGCTACACAAGCTGAGGGCTATGGGCATAGATGAGGTGGATTGGAGCCTTTTGGAAAAGTAGATGCTTGGGCAAGAATTAAAAGAAATACTTTGCAGGGCAAAAAAACAGTTTAAGCATTTTAATAGTATTTTAAGTGTTACCTAACTGCAGCAGAGAAAAACTTTTGTTTGCCTGGAGGTCAGCTTTAACCCCAACATGTCCAAATTCAGTCTGGTGGTTGGCAATCATTACTGTATTTGGTTGTGGATGACTGCATATTTAGTATTATTTATTCGATTTTCGTAAGATGCAACAGATACATGGACAACTTTTATATTCAATGAAATGTTGCAGCACAAAAATATAGTAATCCTGGCAGGTAATCAACTTTATTTACGATGATCTTTAGTTGTTCAGCACAGAGCTGCTTAGAAGAAATATACTCAACAAAGTTTGTTTTAGCTCAATTTAGACTTCTGTTGAGATAATTACAGCCTAAAATATGAAGACAGGCAGAGACACACCTTTATCTCTGAGCAAGCAGAAAGTTAAAGGACAGGATTTGCAAATGGGGACTAGTAGGCTATGGTTTAAAAAGTGGCTGATTAGAGACATTATGTGTACACGTAATAAGCAGCTGACACTTGATACTGTTGACAGCCCTTGATTAAAACACTTTAAAAACAGTGGAAAACTACACATTTCATGCATGACAAATGTCCTTCCTGCCATTGTGCATTAGACATCTGTAGCATGACATCCCACGTAATGAATGTCAGTATATTTAACCTAGTAAATGTAGCAGCAGAGAGGAAGAAGCAAAAAGCTACCCCTAATGTCCTGTTATATGTATTATTCCTTATTATATGTCCAACAAATACTTATGTAATATTTGAATTAAAGTGACACTAAACTCAGGAGTTAAAGCTTAAAAATGCATTCAAGTACCATAACTATTAATAAAAATTTAACTTATATGTGTATCACTCGGCTGTAGATCCTCAAATCATCTCTGAATGATACTTTTGTTCCCCATGGTCCCTGTGTTGTAAAGTAGTCACCGCTGCAAGCTTGCTCCTGTGATGCACCACCATCTCACATTTAATTAGCTAATTTGTATTGAGATTATAGTCCATCACAGGAGCGAGCTTGGAGCATTGGCTACTTTATAACACACACAGGGACCATAGGGAACAAGAAAGGAAGGACAGTGTCACCATGAATTCAGAGATGATTTCAGGATCTACAGCTGAGTGATACACAAATAAACTACATTTTTGTTAATAGT